AGAAGTAATCCAAGACTTTAAGTAAAGGTGCAAATAGACTTTAGATGTTTGCAAACAAATCGTACCACTACAAATTAGTATTATTGTTGCTACTACCCACCAGTCAGATATCAGCTTTAATCATCTGGCCTGCTCTAGCAACCGGGATTTCGAATAAATATGTTCTCTCTCTGTTGCTATGGTTTACCTATCCTTTTACTCTGCTCGGTTTAAATTTCTCATTATAAATTATCATCTCTGGAAACAGAATGCTCTGAATCATTTAGTCACAAAAAGAACATTTGATTTTTGTCAGTGCCTCAGATAAATCAGATCTGACACCATGTGCTTGTTTTGCAACAAAGATATGTCAGGCCTGTGATTAGCAGGATGTAGATAACAAGAAACATGTGTACATGTGTGTAAGCTGCACTCATGTGGAAACAGCTACAGAAATATATAAAGAGAGTTAAAATACACATGTAACCACAAGCTATTCTGTGCAAATTTAGCAGCTTTATGGGAAACTGGCATGTTTTCCTTCTTGAAAATAAATGTATACAAATTTAACACAAATCTTTTTGCAGAAGAGATTTCCCTCCACTTTCTGTCCAATATCTAAAACAGGAATCCAGAGGGAATCCATATTAGTGTGGAAGACTATAGAAAGACTTCCCCTGGTGGCAACCTAAAATTTGGCATTTTCTTTCACTGTCAGTCTCGGTGATAATAGTAAACAGAACAAATTGAGAGGGTGACCTGAACCTAATCCCGTTCCACTCTATTTGTAACTAAAAAAAAAAAAATAATTATAATTTAAATGAAAATTTCTCAAACTCTCATACCAATGGTTCCTTGGTTCTCCCAAATGGCTCCACAGAACTTGAGATTAAATTGCAGGCATCCCTAGCAGTGTCCTGCACCAAGGCCAGACACAAACATTACACTCTGATTGTATTATTTTCATTGGATTTGGTAACAGCTATGTAGTGTAATGGGATATAATCTGAATCCTACAACAGATAATAGATTCAGTTGTTTCAAAAAGTATTTTGCTGAAACTTGATCATTTACCACAACACGAGGATCAATTTTGTGGAATTTAAAACCTTTTGGATTTTTACCATTCTATGCATTAAGGTAAAAAACCTCTGTGCAAGAGAGCCACTGTGCATGAGAGCAGCGGCTGTCCTGGGTCTGTCCCTCCTCACTGGGCAGATCGATAGCCAATCGTAAAGTTTTGTAGCTACAGTTTCTGGCAGTCATGATCCTTAAAGTAGAATTCTGTGATAACCCCAACTAATCATAAAATACTCCCTTCCCCTCCTAACACCTATGCCTAATAACCTGTGTAAGGGATGTATATACTTACCTATTTTCATGCTGCTCTGGTCCCGCTGCATGATCTGGCTTCACTGTGTCAGCCAGCACTGCTGTAGGGGAGAGGAGGGAGAACCAACAATGGATGGGTCATAGTAAGCCTATGGGAGACATCACCACTCAGGAATTACCAGCTGTTGCTGAGCATTCTCTTCTCTCCCCAGTAGCTTTTCAGTGGCTGACACGGGAGATCACGAGACCAGAGTGGAGTAGCATGAAAATAGGTAAGTGTACATGTCTCTCTTACACAGGTTAGCAAGCATAGGTGTTAGGAAACAGAGGGAGCATTTTTAAGATTAGTTAGGGTTACCCCCAATTCTACTTTACATTAGAAGGAAAGTTATATCAAACAATCTTAATGTTACTTTTAAGGCCAGAATCACGTTTGTAGCCACCATAAGAGTTTCATGTCTGAGGAGATAGTTACAAAGGGCACCGCATTAGCTATATAAATGTGGATGTGCAATGTGTCTCAGTGCATCGGAGTCCTGGTTTGGCCCATGCCAGTATCTACAAATGAAATTAAAGTAAGGAGCATCAGTTTCTACATTTCTCCTTGTATGTGGATGGTCTCGAAGAAAACGTTTTTCTTTTTTTCTCAAACTAGATTTTCAGTTCAATCTTACATTAATGGGACAGATTAAAAAAAAGAAGGCTAAATGCCACGACACATATGGACTGAATTTGTGTAAGTGGAAAACACATGTTCAGTGCATATTTTTTTTTATTTACTTGTGTCTTAAGCGGCAGAATTATAGAGATGAGTTCTAGATGATTTAATAAGGGAGGTATGTGGCTAAACGTAAGCAAGGTAGGAACAGCACAAATAACCACAGAGCTCAGCAAAGGAAGTAAATATTTTAAAAAAAATGATAAAAAGAGGGAGAAATATAAAACTTACATGGGCTAAAAACCAGGCTACTCATGTTTCAGCCAGCTCAAATTTTATACCATAAAAAAGTAAAACAATAATGATAATGCTAAACATATAAAATGCATGGTAAAATTTGTGGCAAGTGCAAGTAAAGCAACTAGGAGGATGTTAGAACACATATGGTCCACTACTATCCCTAAGGCAAATACTGAGCAATACCGGTATGTCTGCCCCTGATTTTCATCACAAGAAAGGTCATTTGGTCTTCCATTAACCCTTTGGTAATTTAGCAGCTTCCATATATCTCAGTTCACTTGACTATAACCCTGTGTCTTAATTACAGTGACAGTGTGAGGTCCTGCCACTGTGAAAATGTAGGAGAAAATGACACAGGTTTCACATTAAGACGTATGTTCCATACTATAATTTCTGAGCAGAGAAAGGTGTGTTTTTGGCTTTCTACAGATTCCGAAGTCCTTGATTGGAGCTCTGAAACTTGAAGGTTCCAACGTGTCTTGGGTGGGATGGAACCTTCAATCCAGTGTCTGGATTTTACTGGATGCCTTCAACCTGCGTGAACTCAGAGTCGTTATATACCAAGCCTGAGGATTGCTCAAGTCTCCCATATTGGAGACAGGAGGTCTCTGCCAGGGGTCAGTTATGCCCCAGCCAGGAGTCGGGAGACAGGAGGTCTCCGCCAGGGTCAGAGGTGCCACAGCCAGGAGTCGGGAGACAGGGGGTCTCCGCCAGGAGTCAGATGTGCCCCAGCCAGGAGTCGGAAGACAGGAGATCTCAGTTGGGGTTAAAGAAGCCCCAACCAGGAGTCCAGAGACAGCAGGTCTCCACCAGGGGTTGGAGGTGCCCCTGACTGGAGTCAGGAGACAGGAGGTATCAGGCAGGGGTCAGGTGTGCCACATCAAGCAATCAGGAAACAGAAAATCTCATTCCAGGAATCAGGTGGTCTCTCATTGTGAGGTCAGAGTATGGACCTGTGCAGTGAGGCGCTGTAATCTACAAGGCTAAGTGAGCCTGAAGAGCTGGTGGTCTGAGGGACCATCCTTCATAGCAGCAGTGCTATGGAAGCATAGCCAGGTGGGCTAGCATTTTCTTGAATTTGTGTTTTGATGTCGAAGAACCCCTGTGCGAGCAACTGAGGTCGATATGAATTTTCCATTTTGTTTACTAAAGGTGGGCTGCTATGCCCTATAATAAAGTTTGGACAGGCACAACTCATTGGAAAAAGCATCTAGTATAATCTCCCCAATACCACACTACATTAATAAATATTAAGGACATATACTGTACAACAATTTTTTGGTACATTGTTTTAAAAAATACTCTATTCATATTTTTTTAATAAAAGGGGAATAAAATGCATTTTTCACTTTTACAGCTTACATAATCTGTTAAAACTTTTAGATGTTGCAATTCGCAGTAATAGCCATAGTCTGCCAATTTCTTCTGTCAAAATATAACTCTACCTGTGCAAAGTGCGTTACGCAGTTAGTACCAGATTATTTGTAAACAATGCCATGTGATATCATAGTGATCATAATGATCACATAATTGGGAACCATGCTAACTGGTTTCTGATCATTGTATCTAACAGGACCAATAGTAAATACAGCTCTGAAAAAGACCCGCTTTAGAATGTTTATTAATTGTGTCAGCTTTCACAGGCTGCTATATTTACTCTTCTTTTTTTGCTGGTAAAAGTGGCAGGTGAGCAGCAGCAGGAGGAGGCAGACAGGCCATGCTACATGCACTTGTAAAATAAGAAACAGCAAAACAAACAGACTCATCCATCCACAGAAGCAAGTGGATGGAGGAATCCCCCTCTTTTCCAGACATTGTATTGTGACAACAGGACCCACCACTGTCAGGATACACTGATCAGTGGCTGCATTTGGTGATAGAGAAACATTTTCCAGCATGTCCCTTTAACAGACATCAATCAAATGATCGACGTCTGATGAGCAGAGACGGTCACAGACTGATCGAAATTTGTCCAGTCCCTGCTAAACTGCCCGAATTTCAATCACTGTATGACCCGCTTAAGGTAAAAAACTGGCTAATGTATCTTCAGCACAGAGCATCATGCTGAGGTAAGGTAAAAGAAGCAAATGAGGATAGAACGGGCATCATAGCAGCACACAGCCCTCCATTCTTCAAGTTTTTTGTGCTAGTATTCTGAGCTCTGTGCTGTTGCCCCTGAAGGAAATGGGTGTGGTTTAGCTGAAAAATGGGTGCAGATAGATGGCCAGGATAGCAATTTGTAATATAAATTGCAGGGGTTTAATTGTATCCTGAACGTGAATCTATAAGTTGATGCTGGAGTGTGTGACTATAATATGAGCAGATATGGTGCTTTGGATAAATCTAAAGGCTTGGCCTCTACTTTATTTTTGGAATCTATATTTATACTGTAACTGAAGCATAGATAGTTTTATATAAACTGAACTTCAGACAGATACTAAAAGCAATAATGAAATCTTAACTCTAGACATTCTTTGTACTTTTGGACAAAAAGGGGGGTGGGGGGTATTTAAAAATGGGTCAGCTTATTTGCGCCTCTTCCAATTTTTATCATGGTCAAAGGAAGGGATGGGGGAATGGGCGCAAAGCTGTTTTCTGCCTAGGATCCAATTCTGCTTTAATCTGTTTCTCGTTGGAACCCTCTTTTTTATTTGAATGCTGCAATCATATTGTCAAGAATCCTTCTTAAAAAAAAAAAAAAAAAAAAAGGTAGCAAGAAAATGTAACTCACGGTATCCCCAATCTTGAGCCCAGAGCAGGATTTTAGGCCTGGTGTGACCTCATTGTTGGTGCAAGTGGCATTGAATGAGAGTGACAGCTCCTCGGGAAGATCACGGACTTCCAGCTCCACCCTGGATCGGATCTTCTACATTCACAAAAGAAGGAAATGAGAACACGAGATAAATTAGAAAGTGAAAAAAAACTTTGGCAGATGAGAAAACATGAAGCTGAATGAAGACCAAAATAAGACCTGTCCCCCCCCACCACCCTTTCCACTGCACTGCCTTAAAATCATAAATTGGAGGTCCTGAAATAGTCAGTTTCATAAACCACAGCTCTGGAATCCACTGCATGTTTGGTCATATGTTCCTCGTCAAAGGGGAGATACAGCCATTAAAGGCTGATTCAGCCTGGAGGTAGGCTGGAGGAAGTATCAATGGACTACAAGTGCGGTGACATCTTTGTACTCGTATCCCATTGAGATGTCTAAGTTCCTCTGCTACAGTGCCAGATGGCATTTGTAGTCTCTCCCTTCACAGAACTCTAGGAAAGGATGGTGCAATTGTGTGGGCTGAGCCATGCACAGCCACGCTAATCTAAAAAAAATTACATGAGCCTGCGGGAAGAAGAAGAATCCCCAGATTCAGTAAGTAGGAAGCAGTTTGGACATGGGGGAGGGGTTGCGTACTGTGATTGTTTCATGCTACACCCTAAATAGGGGGTAGTATGAAACATATCAGAAAGGAGACCTTGGCCTTTAAGAACACTGACCTTTAACTTTATCAGAGCTCAGGTGAGCAAATTCCAGGACTTAGTATCGTGATTTTGGTGACTGGAATCCATAGAAGGAAGTGCAGAGTAGACAGCTGACAGACAAGAGCCATAGAGAAAAACACGCTGAAATAGATAGGCAGTACAGGGTTCATGTACTTTGTGGAAAAAGGAACGGCTTTGGGAAGTCATACCTCATAGGAATCTACGATCAGCTGAATCACGTTTCCTGAATCTGTGGATAATGTACCCACTGTCGTCCCGGGAATTAACTCACTATATTCCTGTGAGAAATATATTTAGATTAAATATGACACTGTGCAGAAACAAATGCCAGCTAGAAAATTTTTATGCAAAACAAATTTAAAATATTTTATCCTTCATCTGAAGAACGCCTACACTGTTTATGTGGGCAGGCTGTGGGCAACTTAATTTAAAGGAAATCTATGATGAGAAATACATGTGGGTTGCAATTGTTTACAGTCTCCAAAAAATGCTATTTGCCTTGCAGTCTTTAGTTTGAATGATTTGAGCCACTGATCTGCAGCAAGCTTGCAGCCTACCGAGTCATAGTGTAGTCACAAATTTCTTACAGTAATACTTTTTCAGGATCAGTGATTCTGAAGGACAGCCACGCAACTAGCCTTAAAAGATTGGTTGAGCAAGGGCAGGCGCCATACAGACCTGCTTTACGTTCAGCAATATGAAGTTTCTAGCTATCTCCTCCGTAACACCTAATTCTGAACCAGGGGCGGACTGACCATTTGGAAACCCGGGCACTGCCAGAGGGCCCGGGGTCAGCAGGGGGTCCCATGAGATGCCCCTGGTACCTTTTTCATAGGCTTTTTTGAGTTTGGGCAAGGACACAGGGGCCCATGATCCCCTATTGCCCGGGGCCCAATGGGTTGCCAGTCTGCCCCTGTTCTGAACACAAGTGAAGAGCTGTCTAGGGCCTTCTCTGCTCTAAAATATAGTGCAAAATAAGTTGTATGAAAATACTATATCCATATATGTTATATTTTTTCATATCCAAACAGATGTACATATAGTATAAGGCTCATGTACACTGCAGCTGATAAACTCACGTTTAGGAGCATTATAGCATTTTTTTCAGCAGCCCCTGAACTCTCCCTAATGTTTTCCTATGTGTCCATGTACACATTGTCGTTTACAGTCGTTTACAGGCAGTTGAGTTTACAGTTGTTCTTTTGAACGCAACAAACTTGCGTTCAGGAGTAGATTTTATCAGCGTTTCAAATGCAAAAAGCTTGTAAACACGTGTAAATGCAACTAACCGCATTTATAAGCGTTTTTTTTTTTTTTAACTCTTCCATTTCCAGATGCTGTCCAGAGCCTTTTTTCATCATGAAAAATGCATGCAAAGCATTTTCCAGGTACTCAAATGGACCTGGTGCACCATACTTTGAGGTTTCGCATAAAAGAAAATATGTTAGACACTGCTACAATAATTTCTGCACAGAAATGAGCTGGAACACATCCAATCACCACAAAAAAAAAAAGACAGCTAATCTCAACAAATACTGCTCTCTCTGCTTCTACTCTCTCTATTTCTCTCAAACAGTCTGAAATAGTTAATAATTTACCACTTTCCAGTGCATTCTGGGCATTTGGAAGGTTCTCCTGTGCTTATCTTTAAAAACCGCTTCTGAACGCAAATGCTCATAAACAGGTCTAAACACGCATAAACGCAGTATGCAAACGGGGCAAAACTGACTTTTTTTAACCTGCGTTTTCCTGCTGTCAATTTCCAGTGTTCAGAAGAGTTCTCCAAACGCACTGTGTACATGGAGCCTAATACACAATCATTCCTGAAACTTTAAAGAACTTTAGTATATTTCTTATTGTAGGTTATTGAAGATGAGTTTGCTGGTTGGAGTGGTGGATACAATATAACTCCATTGACTGTACAATTTTCGTGGCATTTCAACATGCCTTCCTAAAGAAGACATTACAACTGAGATTGAAATTATTATAAAGGTATCACAAACCCTTACCCTAATTGGATTCTATATGTAGTTATACTGTATATTATATATACGGTACTTTATTTGGAGGATAATATTATTAAACATATGTATGTGAGGACACAGGTAAATCGAGTGTATAATCACACTCATGTCCATGATCCAGATGTCTGATACACCAATTGAAAATCACAGTTCAAATGATTCTTGGTCCCGCCAACCTGAATTGGAATCTTCAGAAAATATTGGATCAATTGATGTATTTAGATATTTATCTGAGAGACTGAGACACTGGCTCCAAACCAAGAAGGCACTTTAATGTGGCAGAATGAATAATCAAGATACAATTTTACATATTAAGATGTCCATACAATTAAATTGGTCAGTGTTAATCAATACCACTATATGATCAACAACAACTGTGTATGAATGATTGTGATAGAAATGGCAGTTGGGAAAAAACCTGTATGTTCCTGAATTAATCCTTATTATACTAAATGGCCAGATATGATGAAGATGCAACATACCTCTTTAGACCCGCAAGCACCCTATGTAGCATACCTCTTTAGACCAGCACGCACCCCAACCTTCTACCTTACAGCTACTGAACAACTTTAGACATAAAAAAAAGATCAAATACACAGTACCTTGTAGAGATCCGAGACTTCTTTAGTGACGGCAAAAACAAGGTTGATGTTTTTTTGGGAAAGTTTTTCAGTCATGAGTCCAATGGATGGGTAGTCCTGAGGAAAGATCCATAAACTGAATATTATTGGAAAATAGCACAAAAGGAAAATTGGCAGGAATATCTGATGTTTAATCTGTTAAAAGAACACTAGAATGCAAGGTGATTTGTTTGATATGTTTTGTTTTTTAATTATTTATTGTAGATGACTGCAAAGCAATTACTGCATTATGCTTAAAGTGACATTATACTCTGGTTTAAAAAAAAAATCTATTCAGATATAAATTGTTAACAAAAACAAGTTCCTTCTATTGCTCTTAGCCTCCTCCAAATCTCTAAATTCCTTTTGCCTTTGCTGCTGTGATCTGACTTCCTGTTAGAGGGTGGCTACGTTCGTTCTCCATGGTCCCACTGTATGTAAGAACATTGAATGCACTTGTGCTTTATATACCAGTGCCACGCAATGTGAACATATTATATACCATATGACAATTTATAACGTATGCAATCCTCATAATAAAGTGCCTGTGCAGTTTCCCATATAACTTCTTATAAAGTGCATATATACAGCACAGTGCATTACATAAACAATGTGTTCATCTTAATTCGCACATAATAATTAAAAGTCCTTATAATGTGTATAAATTCTTCTTGATAAGGTCATTCAGTTCTTATGCTCATTCGTGCATCTTCCTGCCATGTATAGAATCACCCTTATGTGTTTCACCTCCACCAACACACATATCTACTCTTACCTCCTTGTTTTGACCTATAGATATTGAAGTCAAACAACACCTTTCCCTTATAACCTGGGTAGGTATAGTTTCTCCCCCTCCAATCTCCTCCACATTTTAATGCAGCCGATCTTCCTATTTCTTTTTCTTTCAAAAGAGATGGGATAGAGCTTTAGACTGAACTTTACTTACCAAAATAGTAGACAGTGTGTAAGAATTGCTATCTCCAAGATGGCACTGTCCATCATTGGGGCGAACAATTCCTGCAAGACGTCCATCCAGGGCAATGTGCGTTCTAGCATCTGTCGTGAAAACCAGCAGATGGGATGACTCGTTCCTCCAGCCAATCCTTTCCTGTTGAAATCAATATGGAAAAACAGGCTCAATACCAACAGACATTTGCAACTGTTATGCAAATCTCATCTCTCTACACTCACATCGCATACTGCAGCCTGCATGATGGCATCAAATCCACCTTCTGGAGCATCGCGGTTTCGGGAAACATCCTGCTTTGCAACTTCCTGATTGAATCTCTCAACCTGGTCTGTGAGGGCCAAAATGTGCTGATAGCCAAAAGTGGGCTTGCAGGTGGTACCTATCCTGTGGAGAAAGATGACACAGATGAATGGAATGAAAGGGGAAAAATGTAGTAAAAATTTATTGTTAATTTATGTTCATTACTGTAAACGTCACTCTGCTTTTAACATACTTAGAACAGAAATACTACATATCGCCAGGAGTACGTCTTTTGTGGAGTGTTTTTTTCCTGGTAGTTGAACAGCATCTGCTCTGAAATCTGCCTGCTAAGAAAAATCTTTGGAGTCTCAAGAAAGACATCTCCTCTAAAGGCCCATGTGGATATGGAGACTAGCATGCAAAAAAAAATGGACGATCATTCGTCCGATATTCTCATTGTGTGTACTAGGCATTAGTTGCTAGTTGGACAAGTTGGACATATGGACATACTGAAATGAAGCTGGTTTCCTACACTTACTGGCAAGTGCTCAACTGAACCCCTCTTCCCAATAGAACCTCTAATTTAGAAAAAATTTAACCAGTTCAAAGGATAATTCATTACCGTTACTGTATAAAACAGCATACTGGAGTAGTCCAGACTGGTCATCAACAAGGCAATCAACAACTAATACTTATAAATACACCAAGGAAGTCAGATGCTATAATAAGGCATTGGCTGCTGAAAATGTCAAGTTTTCTTAAGAATCTTCAGGAAAGAAGGGGTGTAGATAGGAAGTAGTCATATCAGGAAAAAAGTTAAAGCTGACGGAATCTTGAAAGAACAGTGTGGGTCAGCCCAGACATGACGCACAGTATGGAGAGATTATCTATCATTATATTTTTATATTGTGGTAGGAAGCCAGATAACCCATAGGAAACCAGCAAGAAAACAGGAAGAATAACCATACAGATAATACCATTAAAGTCATCAAACCTAAGGCTCCAAGACAGCAATGGTGACAACTGTGTAAACATATTTTTCAATATTTTCAGCTACTACTGAATGCACTTTGCTCAAGAGCAACTTCATGCAGCAGTTAAAAGCTTTCCATAAATCATAAATACTGTCTAGGAAAAATACCACCATCGTAAGGCCAGCAAGTCAAAAAGCTTTCAGATAAGGTGAGATCAAGGTAACTTTCTTGTCAATCATTTTTGGAACGTGTAGCCTGAAGAGCTAATCCTAACTGCATAGCATGGTTCCAAAAGATGTCAGTAGGTGTTGGTGTTGTGTGAATCATTTTTTTTTTATCAGAGTTTGCAAAAATAAATGGTGAATTTTCAACATGCATAGCTAAAGTGGGTGTGCATATTAAAAATTATGATCTACTGCAGTGACCTTTTTTAGGTTGTGGATGTGGTGTTTTTATATCAGGATAATATATAACAAAAATTTGTGTTTTAGGGCCAGTGGTGAGGTCATTGCTGGAGGTGTAACATACAGTCAGGTCCATAAATATTGGGACATCGACACAATTCTAACATTTTTGGCTCTTTACACCACCACAATGGATTTGAAATGAAACAAACAAGATGTGCTTTAACTGAAGACTGTCCGCTTTAATTTGAGGGTATTTACATCCAAATCAGGTGAACGGTGTAGGAATTACAACAGTTTGCATATGTGCCTCCCACTTTTTAAGGGACCAAAAGTAATGGGACAGAATAATAATCATAAATCAAACTTTCACTTTTTAATACTTGGTTGCAAATCCTTTGCAGTCAATTACAGTCTGAAGTATGGAATGCATAGACATCACCAGACGCTGGGTTTCATCCCTGGTGATGCTCTGCCAGGCCTCTACTGCAACTGTCTTCAGTTCCTGTTTGTTCTTGGGGCATTTTCCCTTCAGTTTTGTCTTCAGCAAGTGAAATGCATGCTCAATCGGATTCAGGTCAGGTGATTGACTTGGCCATTGCATAACATTCCACTTCTTTCCCTTAAAAAACTCTTTGGTTGCTTTTGCAGTATGCTTTGGGTCATTGTCCATCTGCACTGTGAAGCGTCCAATGAGTTGTGAAGCATTTGGCTGAATATGAGCAGATAATATTACCCGAAACACTTCAGAACTCATCTTGCTGCTTTTGTCAGCAGTCACATCATCAATAAATACAAGAGAACCAGTTCCATTGGCAGCCATACATGCCCACGCCATGACACTACCACCACCATGCTTCACTGATGAGGTGGTATGCTTAGGATCATGAGCAGTTCCTTTCCTTCTTCATACTCTTCTCTTCCCATCACTCTGGTACAAGTTGATCTTGGTCTCATCTGTCCATAGGATGTTGTTCCAGAACTGTGAAGGCTTTTTTAGATGTCATTTGGCAAACTCTAATCTGGCCTTCCTGTTTTTGAGGCTCAACAATGGTTTACATCTTGTGGTGAACCCTCTGTATTCACTCTGGTGAAGTCTTCTCTTGATTGCTGACTTTGACACACATACACCTACCTCCTGGAGAGTGTTCTTGATCTGACCAACTGTTGTGAAGGGTGTTTTCTTCACCAAGGAAAGAATTCTTCGATCATGCACCACAGTTGTTTGCCGTGGTCTTCCGGGTCTTTTGGTGTTGCTGAGCTCACCGGTGCGTTCCTTCTTTTTAAGAATGTTCCAAACAGTTGTTTTGACCATGGCTAATGTTATTTCTATCTCTCGGATGGGTTTGTTTTGTTTTTTCAGCCTAATGATGGCTTGCTTCACTGATAGTGACAGCTCTTTGGATCTCATCTTGAGAGTTGACAGCAACAGATTCCAAATGCAAACAGCACACTTGAAATGAACTCTGGACCTTTTTTGTAATTGGGATAATGAGGGAATAACACACACCTGGCCATGGAATAGCTGAGAAGCCAATTGTCCCATTACTTTTGGTCCCTTAAAAAGTGGGAGGCACATATGCAAACTGTTGTAATTCCTACACCGTTCACCTGATTTGGATGTAAATACCCTCAAATTAAAGCGGACAGTCTACAGTTAAAGCACATCTTGTTTGTTTAATTTCAAATCCATTGTGGTGGTGTATAGAGCCAAAAATGTTAGAATTGTGTCGATGTCCAAATATTTATGGACCTGACTGTATGCAAGAATCGTGTTATAACCATGTATTGTGAAACTTTCAAGATCAATATAGAACTGTATTATGATCATGTACAGTGGTGAGGTCATGTTACAGCTAGACGTGCGATTCATTTCATTACGAGCTGAAATTTTGACAAAATTTTAATTATCCAAATTTCCAAATCGCAATAGTATCAAATTTCAGCAAATCCAAAAATAAATTATGAAAAAGCGAAATTATTTGAATTAGAGAATGAATTTGCATTCAAAAATGAATTTGAAAAAAAATGGAAACATATTGCAATAAATACAGTAAGGTATAAAAGTGAAATAAAATGATGATTCCTACTTAAAGGCTGCTTTATAGAGTATAATAGAACAGAACAGAATAGAAAAAAAGCAGAGTAGAACAGAATACAATAGAATAAAATAGAATAGAAAAATACATGAATAGAATAAAAAAGAAAAGAATAAAATAGAATAGAAAAGAATAAAAAATAAAAGAACAGAATAGAAAAAAATAAAATAGATTAAAATAGAAAAAAATATAGCCGTCCACTGAAATTCTAATCTTGAATCTATTTGAATATACAAAACAATTCAGAAAGCAAATCATTCTAATATAACGAAAATGAGGAAACAAAATTAATAACTTAACGAACAAATCCGAAACATAATACATTTTTTTCGGCATGCACATCTCTAGTTACAGCTGTAGTGAACATTAGAACTATATTATAACTGGTGAATAACACATGCAGAGTATGGTTTTTTTTCAAATCTGTACACTGTTTGTGTTTGAACGATATAATTTAAAATTTGTTCTGCATGCATCTTTACCAAAATAAAAGTGCTTTCTGAGATTTGTACAGAAATGTTGGTAAGTACTTTATATATACACCATTGGCCATATACTCAGTGTGATCGCTGTGTTCTCAGCCTGCATTGCTCAGGAGATTTATGGCCATCTAGCCAGAGCATGTCTTAAAAATATTTATAATATCTTTATACTTGGTAGACACATAAAGAGATTTGAGGCTAAAAGATTATCCAAAGGCGATTTGTCAGGAGAATGTGAACAATAATAAACAGATCAAATGTGCTAGGGCTACAGAAGCATGGAAACAAGTAAATGATTTTGGAATACAGTAACTCAGTGAAAAAAAGTAGAGCCCAGCAAATGGGACAAGGTCAGTCAACCCACGAGTTTCTTTCCTGAAGCTGATATTTGCATATTAGAATACCCCAGGTTTCAGGGTGCTTAGGGAGCCCTTGCAGATACTTGTGGTTGTTCACATTTAATTTGTTTTGCCTCTTTATATACTTTTTAGAAAGAAGTGGTTTATTTGAAAGGATGACTCCATCTGAAGCATCTATTTGTTGTCTGTGTTAACACTAAACTGATCAGTTGGTTTCTGAATTTTTTTCTTTTGGATAGAGTTTAAAAGGGGTTAAAAACACCTGCAAGTTTATTTTGTGCTGTGTCTTCTCCGTTGGAGAAATTTCTCTTCACTTCCTGTCCTGAAGAGGCAACAGGAAGTGAAAAGAAATTTCTGTAAAGAGAGAGGAATTCTCTTCTTAACCTCTTCTTCTTAAAAAAGGCATGGTGTGGATTGTTTATGTGTCCTGCATTGAGCTCTGACCTCAAATCTTCTGAACACCTTTTGGACAAACAGGAATGTTGATTGCAAGCCAAGTCTTCTTGTCAGACATCAGTACCTGACCTTACAAATGCTTTTCTGGTAGAATGGCAATTAATTCCCATACATACAACCTTCACATAGGAATGGAGACTGTTAAAGCCACGAATAGGAAGAGGGGAAGGAGCGGAAAATTCATATTAGTGTCCATAGTTTTAAATTGGGATGTCCAACAAACGTTTATAGGTGTGGTGATCAGAAGTCCACAAACCTTTGGCCACATAGTGAACATTTTTTGTCACCTAAGGCAGAATATTTTGCCTCTAATCAGCGAAGGATAAAGGAAGTCTTATTACTTACTCTAGGCAGGGGTTTGTGATGACTTCTGGTGGAGACATATACATGTAAGGTGACATGGGCTTATCAACAAATGCCCCAAAGCCAATGCGGAGATTACTGGTTACTCTGTGCATCCTGTCAGCCAGTTGAGTTCCTAAGTTTCGGATGGTTCCCAAATCATCCTTCATAGAATAAGACAGATCCATAAGGTAGTAGATGTCCACTGGATAGTCTTCCACCTGCCGTACTTGAATTGTGAAGATCTTGGAATCATCTTTGAGATAAGTGAAAATGGACATTTTAAAGAACTTCACAACAACAACATACAAAGTGTTCCATGTACTCCGTATTTACTAAAACAAATTATCAAAATTATTTCTAAACGGACCTATCAGCAATGACACGTAGTCTATCTTTATATCAAATGCAATGAGTAGTGACTTATTTTATGTATTTTCTCTATTATAGTCAAAACTTGTAATTACAACTTTAAAAAATATATATATTTACAACTCTTTGGCAATAACTCCTCTGTCTTCAGTCACTTAAGTCTCTGGAAAAGTATTCAGCATTCAACATTTCTGGGAGTGTAAAATGCCTGTATGCTTTACTCAGTAATTCCTGTACAAGCCTCTATGTCAGGGGTGTCAAACTTGCAGCCCTCCAGCTGTTGCAAAACTACCAGTCCCATCATGCCTCTGCCTTTGGGAGTCATGCTTGTATCTGTCAATCTTGCAATGCCTCATGGGACTTGTAGTTTGGCAACAGCTGGAGGGCTGCCAGTTTGACACCCGTGCCCTATGTCATTACTGTATTCTGTAGTGATCTAGAGGTCAGCAGGAGGAACCAAAATGCACAGTAGGGGATGTAGACTGGCATTCAACACTCCCAGAAGTGTAAATATTTTGAGATTTCTACTGCAGAGAATTTTTTTTTCTCCTAAATATTTTATTTAGTGTAAATATCTTAAGGAACAGGTTTGTGGGTGCAAAGTAGCTCCAAATTATTACATCACACAAAGAAAAAGGCAGCATACATGTCAAGTGAGGCAGGAAGCCACAGCTACTGTATACAGTATACCAGCAATCAGAAGAAAATTGCCCAGAGGGGAACTTTGTAGTCAAATTGAAGAAAGGGAGTGATTTTTATAAAACATTTCTGTTTAGGAAAAGAAACAGTCACTTTAAAGGATAAGTTCACCTTTGTATACATGTTACATGTTTCACCTGTTTTTAGGGTGGAATACGTAACATGTTCCCACTGCTGCAGCCACCGCCCGCTGCCCTCTCTCCCTGTAACAGCAGTACAGGGAGAAGTTCCCTGTACCAGCTGTCACTTTTTTTAAAAGATAAGATAATAAGATTGCTATATAGTTCACTGTCAACGCAACTCGTTGCTGTACAGAATTACTTCATATATAACCCTGTTTTTTTATTTCCAGTCAAAAGAAAGTATGAAATGTCAAAATATAATTAAAATGGGTAGGGGTCTTGGACAGAGCTTATAGAAAAACTCCAAGCAAATACTGTACATAGAAAAAAAAAACTCTTTAGTTTACTTATATGTTCCTCCAAAAAACATAATCTTTAAGTTAAGCTGGTGTAATCATCAGAAATGTCTACAAGTCTACAGATAAAATCAGGCTTGTAGGGCAGTTTCTGTGCTTTGGACAGATAAAACTTTAAAAACACTGTTTGGCTAGAGCTGATTTTTATGTATTATTTTTATTTAGAAAATTTGGTGTCAGATTCTGTAAAGCCTAAAGGGTTCCTTTAGACCTGTTCACCACGTCTTTTTTCAGTATTACCTGGTCTCAGGTGCAGTTCAATCTTCTGTGGTGTCATTTGGGTGATGTCTCCTTCTGAGCCCTTGTCACTCAGCGGTCTGTCCACCAGAGTCTTGACCTCACTGCTAGGGTACTCAATCTGGTTTCGATCACAGTTATTTTCTAGCAGTGCTGACACTAAGTCGCAGCGAGGTGCTCCTTTTCCAAAATCCTGGAAAAACAGCAGTGGAAAGACACAAAATATACCAATTAGAAAGTCAGGTATTAAATGGGAAGTATAGCGCTTCTCAACAATGTTTCCATTTACAGTTAAAAGAGCTTGGCTTTATTCTTAAATTCTTTATTACTATGTTTATGTTCTCAGATGAGGGGAAATCCCTCTTTGTCTCCTCCTCTCTGGACTGATTTATTTTACCCTCGGCAGTTGGACTTCCCTCCCTTCTCCGGTATCCCTTACCTATCCCTTCCCCCTTCCTCTCCCCCCTTTTTTTTTTCTTGTTCTTCTCCCCTCCCCCCTTTGTCTCTTTTCCAGATTTTTGTTTCTGACTCCATTCTGTTTCTCATTCCTTTATATACACTTTCTATAAAAATGGATAGACCCTAGCACTCATAGTTGCAGTTAGTCTTGCCCCTGGGGTGCACCTCATGTCGACACTCTTTCCAACAACATACAGTATAATGTACAGCCTGTCGAATGTTTATTCTTTGTATTACTCCTGGCTGGTTATTGCACTGTGATCTCTGTACACGGGGGATGCCCTTTCCTTTTGATGAATTTATACTGCGGATCAGGGGCGGACTGACAACTCATGGGGCCCCTGGGCAATAGGGGATCATGGGGCCCCTGTGTCCTTGCCCAAACTCAGAAAAGCCTATGAAAAAGGTACCAGGGGCATCTCATGGGGCCCCCCTCAGGCAGTGCCCGAGTTTCCAAATGGTCAGTCCACCCCTGCTGCAGATGTTTTACACTGTTTTGTGAGTGTGGTGCTGTCTACATAAATAAAAAATGAGAAAAAAAAAATTCTTTATTACTGAAAAATCTTAATTAGGTGTTAGTGTTTTAAAGCCTTATTTCTATGTTTATAAATGCACCTGGGGGCAGCCATATTTGCTCATTATGTATGCAGGCTCTACTAGCCTTGTGTAAAGACTGTCCTTCACTGCTCCTGTGGATCAGTACAAGCCTATGTCAGACCTGACTGATTAAAACAGAATCCCCACAGTATTTAGTGACTTGTATAACCACAAGGATCCACCAGAATTCAGGTCAAGTCTTCAGCTCAGCTTCACTCTGAAACATGCACCCTTCACAACGTCAAGACCACATATAGAACATCACTATAAGCTTTTTGCCCTGAGGAAGGGGGGAAACTCTGAAATGCCCTAGAAATCTTGGCTTTTTTTACACCCACCTGCAAAGCCATCATACGTATGAAGGGACCACTCATGTAGGGACTCTTCACAAGTTGAGCTGCCACAGTACAGCTTCTCCCTCAAGGTCCTACTCTACATAACACATGGACCCTGAGGCCTCCACAAAGAAATACAGTGTGGAAAAAGGCTTGGTAAGTGAGTATCAAGGAAAGGATTGGCCAATGGAAGCCTGTAGGCAATAGTGATGACCAGTCCTAATACTTCTGCTTTCCTTTTTTTGGGAACAGATCCCACAGAACAGATATTCATTTATGCATTAGAAAATTCTATTACACATGTAAACCCAATAAGGTGCCATGTCTAATTACATGCATGTCAAGGAGACTAAAGCTCACCCATTGGATACAAGAAACTATGGCTTTCATAGGTGGTACTTTGACTATGAGACCATACCTCCCAACTTTCTGAAATGGGAATGAGGGACACCTATTAGCAGAACTACGTAGGCATAGAACACACCCCCTGTCACGCCCCCCTTAAAGGAGAATTGTACAAAAAAAGATTGGTTAAACCTACAAGTGCGTTTTTTTACCACTACTATTCCTTTATATTAGCTTTTGGAATTTACAAATTCAGCAATTTAGAAATTTGATGAAAGTTTTAGCATTGTAAAACACTTATTTGAAAGCTAAATAGTGCATTTTATATACAACTACACTCACTGGCCACTTTATTAGGTACACCATGCTAGTGCCAAGAAAATCTCACCCACACCGTTACACCACCACCACCACCAGCCTGAAGTAGTGATACAAGGCAGGATGGATCCATGCTTTCATGTTGTTTATGCCAAATTCTGACCCTACCATCTGAATGTTGCAGCAACCAGTCTGCCCATTCTCTTCTGACATCAATAAGGCATTTTCATCCACACAGCTGTCGCTCACTGGATATTTTTTCTTTTGTGGACCATTCACTGTAAACCCCAGAGATGGTTGTGTGCGAAAATCCCAGTAGATCAGTAGTATTTGAAATACTCAGACCAGCCCATCTGGCACCAACAACCATGCTACATTCAAAGTCACTTAAATCCCCTTTCTTCCCCATTCTGATGCTCAGTTTGAACTTCAGCAAGTCATCTTCACCACATCTAGATACCTAAATGCTGCCATGTGATTGGTTGATTAGCAATTTGTGTTAGCAAGCAATTGAACAGGTGTGCCTAATAAAGTGGCCGGTGAGTGTATATAGATCAGACCAAAAGGAAGAACAAATAAGGAGGAAAGAGGGACTTTGCTCCAAATGAAGGACAGTCCCTTGAAATCAGGGAAAGTTGGGAGCTATGTCAGACTTTTATAAGACATATACTAGTAAGCACAGAAACATTAATGTTTCATCTTCACAATAATAATTAAGTTACCCTAGAGGCATTAGAACTCCCCACACCCTTCCTCTGACTCAGGATTCTTATCTCCCCCATCTTTGTGCAGCCCCAGGCCTGTAAATAAACGTAAATAACATGCAGAAACAGCAGGATTAAAAGCACAGTTGCTGTAAATGATGAAATCATTTACTGCCCTGGAGTGCCGTAAGGAGAGCCTCTGACAGTTGAAGAATCTTATCTCACATAGGGAGATTTTCCAAGGACACAATACCTTATAATTCAATGTAGACTTGCATGAAGAAGAGTGATGGAGGAAAGTGTTACACCTGTAGACAATGGTATCTTTGCTGAGCTGTGGCTGCCAAACATACTGTTCTCTGGAAGATATCTTCCTGTCTGTGGCTACCAATGTTAGATAAACAATCTTACATAGTTGCATAGTTAGTCTGGCTGAAAAAAGACAAAAGTCCATCCAGTTCAACCATAAAAAAAAAAAAAAATTATAATCCTACACCCACAGTTGATCCAGAGGAAGGCAAAAAAACCCCAGCAAAACATGATTCAATTTGTTCTTGCTGGGAAAAAAATTTCTTCATGATCCCCCGAGAGGCAATCGGATATTCCCTGGATCAAGTTTACCTATAAATGTTAGTATCCAGTTATATTCTGTGTATCTAGGAAAGAATCCAGGACTTTTTTAAAGCAATCCACTGAGTTGACCAGAACCAACTCTTGAGTGAGTCTATTCCACATTTTCACAGCTCTCACTGTGAAGAAACCTTTCCATGTTTGGAGATTAAATTTCTTTTCCTTCAGACGTAAAGAGTTCCCCCTTGTCCTCTGTGATGACCTCAGGGTGAATAACTCTACACCGAGTTCACTACATGAACCATTGATGTATTTTTACATGTTGATCATATCCCCCCTTATGTATTATACATGTTGATCATATCCCCCCCTTATTTATTATACATGGAGATCATATCCCCCCTTATGTATTATACATGGAGATCATCCCCCCCTTATGTATTATACATGTTGATCATATCCCCCCCCTTATGTATTATACATGGAGATCATATCCCCCCCTTATGTATTATACATGTTGATCATATCCCCCCCTTATGTATTATACATGGAGATCATATCCCCCTTATGTATTATACATGGAGATCATATCCCCCCTTATGTATTATACATGGTGATCATATCCCCCCTTATGTATTATACATGGAGATCATATCCCCCCTTATGTATTATACATGGAGATCATATCCCCCCTTATGTATTATACATGGAGATCATATCCCCCCTTATGTATTATACATGTTGATCATATCCCCCTTATGTATTATACATGGAGATCATATCCCCCCTTAAGTATTATACATGTTGATCATATCCCCCCTTATTTATTATACATTCAGATCATATCCCCCCTTATGTATTATACATGGAGATCATATCCCCCTTATGTATTATACATGGAGATCATATCCCCCCTTATGTATTATACATGGAGATCATATCCCCCTTATGTATTATACATGGTGATCATATCCCCCCTTATGTATTATACATGGAGATCATATCCCCCCTTATGTATTATACATGGAGATCATATCCCCCTTATGTATTATACATGGAGATCATACCCCCTTATTTATTATACATTCAGATCATATCCCCCCTTATGTATTATACATGTTGATCATATCCACCCTTAATCTCATCTTCTCAAGAGAGAAGAAATTCAGTTCCTCTAATCTTTCCTCATAGCTGAGCTCCTCCATGCCTCTTATCAGTTTGGTTGCCCTTCTGTGTACTTTCTCCAGTTCCCCAATGTTCTTTTTGTGAATTGGTGCCCAAAACTGAACTGCATATTCCAGATGAGGTATTACTAATGATTTGTACCGGGGTAATATGATATCTTTCTCTCTGGACTCTTAATACCTTTGCTTAAAAAAGAAAAGAGCAGAATGTGTATAGCTTTGAGTAATTTGGGCAAAATATACTGTATCAACAGAGTTTCTAAAGTATGGGGCAGCACAGTGGCTAAATGGTTAGCACTTCCACCTGGCAGTACTAGTGTTGCTGGTTCAAACCCCAACCAAGGCACCACCTGCCTAGAATTTGCATGTTTCTCCCTGTGACTGCATGGGTTTCCTCTGGGTACTCCAATTTCCTCTCACACTTCAAAGACATGCTGGTAGGTGAATTGGATCCTGTCTAAATTGGCCCTAGTATGTGTATGTTTGAATGTAAGTTAGGCACTTTAGATTGTATGCCCCTTGAGGGTTAGGGACTGATGTGAATGTACAATATATATGTGTGTAAAGCACTGAGAAAACTAACAGTGCTATGTAAGTACCTGTAATAAATAAATAAAATAAAGTGCAATTAAAACTGTCCATTGATTTGCAAGGACCATGGCGCTCATACTCTGGAAACAGCCAACAGCATGTTTGTAATCTATCAGACAGTGTGTTTAGCTCCAT